TGGAAACCAAGAAGTCCCAGGATATGCTGTCTGCAAGCTAGAAAACCAGGAAACTGGTGCTGTAATTCAGTCCAAGGCCAAAGCCTGAGAACCTGGGGGCTGCTGCTGATGTAAGTCTCTGGGTCTGAAGTTTAAACCTGAAGTTCTGATGTCCAAGGGCAGGAGAAGCTGGATGTCTCAGTTTTAGAAGAGATAGCCAATTTACACTTTCTCCACCTTTTTCTCAGCAGATTGAACAAGGCCTGCCTATATTGGTGAGGGCAGATCTTCTTTATTCAGTCTACTGATTCAGATGCTATTCTCTTCTAGAAACACCCTCACAGACATACCCAGAAATAATGTTTTACTAGCCATCATAGTATCCCTTAATTCAGACAAACTAAGACCTAAAATTATCCATCACAGTTAGGTATCACTTTAAATCCCCTTTTTCAAAAACAGAAACAACCTCTTTTTTTTTAGATAATGAGCCAAAAAACAAATCAAGGAAGATGTTTCTGATTCTCTAAAACACAGCCTTGATTCTGGGAGAAAATATTCTTCTATCGTAAATAATCACATAAAAAAGAAAAAAAGAGCAGCAAAGTGATCACTTTAAAAGCATACTGACTCCATTAATTACAAGCTACCCAAAGAAATAGGAGCAGTTATCATCCATTGAAGTTTAACTCCTTTAATAGTTATGCTAATATCCATTTTCATATTGGTAAATAATGTGGTTGGTTTGCTTTATTACTTTCTCTTTTTTCAGTTACTAGCATTGAGCCAGATGTTTGCTCAATCACAAAAGACAATGGCTAATCCTTATTATAACCCTTCCCAAAGTTTAGAATTGTCTATTCTATTTATTAGGTTAAGCCCAGGGTGTGCCAAAGATTAGAGTGTGTGTATGGAGCCATGGGAAGAGTGTGACCCTTGGAGAAGACAAATGGATTGTGGCCTGGCTTTTGCCACGAGCTCATTCTGAGATCCTGGGTTAGTAGTTTGACCTCTCTTGGCTCTGAATTTTCTGCATCTGTTTGAAATGATTGGATTAGGTGGTCTCTAAGGTCCTCTCAAGTTCCAAATTTCATGACTATATCCATCAGGCAACCTCTTAGGCCATGCTCCAAGTTCCTTGGAGGCCAGAAACATGACCCAGTTATTCACACACAGGCCAAGTCCACAGACCCAAACCATCATAACTTTCTTCCCAAACATGTTCAGAACAGCTCAGAGAGCCAATGGATACAGAGGAAATCATTTCCAGGAACAGTCTGTCTAAGGGACACATTCAACAATGGGCCAATATTACACATCAAATTGGTAGAGGAGGGGTCATGAATCTAATCAAGTGCCAATAAATGGGGAAAATGACATTAAGCTTTGGACTGGGTGATAATGAGAGTTGTTTGCAGAAATGGCTGCTATCCGAACTAATATACTGAGAAGAATGACCCAATATTTGGGAACAGTTATGGAAAAGTTTAGAGCTTAAGGTTCCTTGGTCTTTGTTTATCTTAGCTATATCCGTTGGGTTAAACATGCTGAAGTATAACATTTTGGGGAAAAAAGGATTGGAAACACTAGGGAAAAAATAATCATTTGTGTATTTTAGAACACTTAAAAAATTTAACTATATAAAATGCATTGAAAAATCACACATTTATAACAATGAAAATTTTTAGGTCATGTTGATCAGCAATTTACATGGCTCAAAACCTGCCTTTTATATACTACCTTATATTAACTCATGCATTTTTAAATAACATTTCATTGTTTTTATGGCATAAATGAGAAAAAATTCCTTAGGGGAACCAAACTTCTCTTATTACAGAATGTGCTTAGGTTAAAAATGTTAACAGCTTATGCATGAATTCAGTAGAGCAAATTATAATAAATTGGTCCTTACAACTCATACTGCTCACCTCTTTCTCCATAAGAAAAAAAAATCATGAAAGTGGACATATGTCCATTTTCTTTACCGTATTAGTCCCCCCCCTTATCTATGGTTTTGCTTGCTGTGGTTTTAGTTACCCATAGTACAGTATAATAAGATGTTTTGATAGAGAAAGAAAAAGAGAGAAAGAATATTCACATAGTTTTTATTACTGTATGTGGTTATAATTGTTCCATTTTTATTATTATTGTTAATCTCTTACTGTGCCTAATTTATAAATTAAACATTATCATAGGTATGTATAGGAAAAAAACATAGTATATATAGGGTTTGGTACTATCTGTCGTTTTAGGCACCCACTGGGTATCTTGGAACATAGTCCCTTTGGCCTACCATACACTATATTTAATGTCTAGCACAGTGCCTAACACATAGTAGGTACTCAAATATTTTATGATGAATGAACTAATGTCTCTTGGCATGTATTATAATGGCTATATAAACAATTGTTCACACTAAGAAATTCAGGAATTAAACTATTTTCATGAGACATAGCATTAACTCAGTGCCAAATAATAAAAAAATATGCAAAGAGAAGCCTAATATTTCTGGAAGCCTCCAAAGAGAAAAGGAATACCTCAAACTCAATTTCAGAGGTTTCAAAAAAAAGTAGTGACATGCATGACCTGACAGTTAAGCTGGAAGAAGAGAATTCACTGAAGTGAGACAAATTATGATTTTTCATCTCTGAGTTAACACACTATGTTTTCAGTTGAAGCTGATTCTATTCCTTTAGAGCAGTGGTGCCCAAACTTTTTGGCAGCAGGGACCAGTTTCATGGAAGACAAGTTTTCCATGTGTGGGGGAGGGGGTTGGTTGGGGGGGGTGATTCAAGCACATTACATTGATTGTGCAGTCAAACCTCTCTGCTAATGACAATCTGTATTTGCAGCTGCTCCCCAGCACTAGCATCACCGCCTTAGCTCCATCTCAGATTATCAGGCATTACATTCTCATAAAGAGCATGCAACCTAGATCCCTTGCATGAGCAGTTTACATTAGGGTTTGTGCTCCTATTAGAATCTAATGCCAGGCTGATCTGACAGGAAGTGTAGTTTATGCAACAATGCAATCAGTGGGGAGCGGCTGTACGTACAGATAAAGCTTCACTGACTCACCTGCTGCTCATCTCCTGCTGTGCAGCCTGGTTCCTAATAGGCCACGGAGGACCTGTACAGGTCCACAGCCTGGGGGCTGAGGACTGTAGCTTTAGAGCACGCAGTACTGTGGAGGATATTGGAAAGAATGTAGTGACAGTTTCAGGCTGCCTCACCCTGAATGCGGTGCTTGCTACTTTCTAGCTGTGTACACTGTGCTGACTCAAACTTTCTGAGCCTTAGTTTCTCATAGATTTATTGGGAGCTTCCTTACAAGACTTTCGGAGAAACACAGAGAAATTATATGTGGAGGCACTAGTATATTGCCTGAAAAGGTAATATATGCAATGAAATTGAGCTGTTGTTACCACTGAGTGTATTTATAATACCTTATTATATACTACAGACATTGAAAAGAATACTTAAATTTAGCATTCCTAATGAATATCTCCCTTCAAAGAAAAAAAAAAAAAAACGCTCCATATAAATTCATAATGCCAGAGTCCTTTCTATTTCCCAGTCTGAAAAGACAAATAAATAAAACCTCCAATAACAGAGAGGTGAACTTTAAAAATCAAAAGGACTTACAGAGTTTTCTTCTTTGAAAATGTTCATATGTGTAACAACCAAGTTTGAATGGGTAATGCCAATTTCTCACATGAATCATCTCCTTCCATTTGATTTATTTCCTTTCACGAGGAAGTTATGAATGTAATCTAAAAAAATGGCAACTTGTTTTTCCCTCAAGTGTCTTTCAACTATCCCTTCACTTGACTACCCTCAAATCCACTTTATGGCCTTTTAATATGCTTTGTGACTGATAAAAATAAAAAAAAAATGACTTTTATGCTAGATAATGTTTCATCTTTATGGTTACATATGATTATAGCTTTCTTAGAGTAAGAATCAAATGTAAATATAGACTTTTTTCAATTATCCACAGGCAGTTTATTTAAAAGTTAGATTTTAAAGTATGCATTATATAAGACATTTGTATTCAAATGTAAGAAAAAAAAGTACTTTGGGGACAAACATAAATGATTCTTGGTAATTCATTGTTTTAGTTTATATTGGCCACTACTGCCCTCCATTGCAGATAATTGAATTGGCGGCATCAGTGAGTACTGATAATGAAGGCAATAATTCTTTAAAATCTTAAATCACAGGGTAGAAGTTTTATAAAAGGCAAAAATTCATAGGGCCATGCACATAACTCAAACACTGTAAGAACTTCATTACACTAAAGCCAATATACTTCTCACAAAGCAGAATACAGTCTTTTGATTTTCTTCAACCCCGTCAGGAGCTAATGCTTGATCCCAGATGAAAAGATAAAGGATTGGGACCTTCCTTGGGCTCATTCACATAACATTTCTATACTTTTAATGTTGGCTGTGAAGTCGCCGGCATTGCTAACAAGATCCATCAAACATAAAACAGGGTTACAATCCTACAATGTGACTGTAATTGCAAACAATCAAGTACAAGAATTCTAAATGTGACTGATGACTTGTTGGCTGCAGGGTGGTTCCCCTGGGAAGCCGGCCCAGAGACAGAGTTCAGAGTGTGCTGTCACCTGTGAAAGGGAAGGTAGGGAAGCAGCAGTGAGCAGAGGGAGAAATTGAACTGTGATGCAGGTCTGACCCTGGCAGGCCGCAGAGGGAGCTAGAATGGTCCTTAATTGTCTGGGGTTGGGTTGAAATGGCCAGGCATAAAATACAATCACACTGATTAATTGTTGGCTACGGCCCACCCACTAACAGCATGACAATGGGGCAACTGGCTTTCTGCATCTGGCATTGAAGGTTTTTCTGTCAACAGCTGTCTTGGTAGGTAGGGCAACAAGTTATTCACTGACAGGGTGCATGGTTTGCATGTCACAGTGTCACCACATCCTTCAAAACATCTAAGTTAGATAGAACCTCTTCTTATGATTCCTGATAGATTTGCCTGAAACGGGCGTGGAGACCCTACCCAGAGTCTCTGCTTCCCCTCAGAGAGGACTGGCTTGGATCTGACCATTCCACCAACGATGAGCAGTAGCTGTTGCTAGAATCACTCCAACCACCAGAGGCTTCTCCCAATAGGAGTATCAAATCCAGAAAATGACAATGAAAATAAAAACTAAATTGACACAGCTTTAAATAATTCCTTTGCAAGAAAAATAATTTCTCACAAGATCTAATTCCAACTCTGTAGGGATGCCATTATTATTTTATTTTCTAAAATAGAACACCTGTTGCAGTCAATAATTTGTGATAATTCTTAATATTCTTGCCTACACCTAGAGCCCAAAATAGCCATGCCCCTGAAATGGTGGCTACTTTGGGGGAGTGACTTAGGTCAGTGACTATTTCATAACATCATCAGCATGTTTCAAAACTTTCTACCTGATATTTAAATGAAAACTAGAGATAATCAGTAACTGAAGGTCATCTTTAATCTATCCTCTTAACTCTTGAATTCTAAAGGAAGGTTGTTTGGCAAATTGGCCTCTTTCTTGTATGAAGTATCATCTGAGGTGTCAAGTGTTAAAGAATTAAAAACAAAAGTAGCATCATTGCTGTCAATCAGTAGGAGCTCTGGTTGGCTTTTTGTTGCAAAAACGTGATGCTTTCTAAATGGAAGGAGCAATCAGCCCATGTCAGGCCTGCCACCAGGAACGTCTGACGCTATCACACTTGAGGGCCATCCCACAGGCTGAGCCAATCACTTGACGTTCAATGGAACTTAACAATGAAATACGCTACAATAAAAGTGTCGACTGAGAGCATCACAACATATAACTAAAGTTGTCTGTATTTTGCAGGCTTTCTAAAATGAAAAACCTTGACCTGTCTTTTCTCAAATGGGCTTACTGGCACTTGACAGTCTTTCCATTGCCGCCCTCGTTTGGCAAGAAACACGGTAAGACATACTCCCATGTTAGAGAGAAATGGCAGGGGACCAAAAAATAAAAGTGTCTTTGATTTCTGTAAACATGAATTGTGTCTAGCTTGGCTTTATGTGCGTTTGAAGGAATAGAGAAAGAAAAAGCAAGGCATACTTTTTCCTTACGGGAAAGACAGAAAAACTGTCAGCTTTTTTCTTTTTTTGGAAAAGAATTATTTAGTAGTTTTTCCTGTTGGATGTTTCTTTTATTTTTATAGTGAAGACAGTGATGATCCATTGCTAGAACTTATGAAAAATAATTTTAACATGGAATTGTATTTTCAAAATTAATGGGCCTGGAAAAGGTGGCTCTTTAAATTAAAAAAAGAATATTTTTAAATTACATTTATGGGAATGTCATTCATCCCTGATTTACATCCAAATGTTCTAGCAGTAAGGATGAATGTGTTTGTTTGCCCAATGAGTAAAATCTTCCCAGGCACAAAAGTAGACTCTGACTTATTTTACACAACTCAATTTGCTTGTTGCAATGGCAATCTTTAAAAGAGTAGTGTAAAGGTGAAACGTTCACAAGAACAAAGTCCATGTCTGTTTTGTAAATCATTCTATGTACCATCTTGACACATAGCAGGTCTATCTTCAAGCATATTTCTTTTTACACATTTTCATTGCTTTTAAGGAAGTCCCAAAGTTGGTGATGTATTAATATTTCCTAACATCTGATAATTCGGGGTTCATGATGCTTGTCAATGCTCTTCGTTGGAAACTCTATGAACATTAGGAAGACTTTAAAAGGCACTCCAGAGGATGACTTGACTTGTAGGGACTAGGGTAAAGAAGTTTTGTTCATAATTATTTTTAAACAGTCTTCAAGACAGCAAAGTAAATGAAAATTGGTTTGATGTGTACATGTGAAGTAGGATGGTCATAGACTTTCAGAGCTGGATTGATACTTTAGAAGTCTTCTCATTCAAAGTTTTGAATTCTGTATTTTCACTGTTTTTTTAATAAAACGTTTTTTAAAAGATGCTCTTTTATAGTTCTCAGGGCTAAAATTTTTAGAAGTTTAATGTAAATGGTAAAACAATAACTAGAAGAACCTGAAATTTTATTAAATGTTCACTATGTTAAATAGCAAATATCAGTAGTCCAGTAATTATTTGACTCTGAACGGAATTTTATTATGGAATACAAAAGCTATTATATAGCTGTAATTCATACAATATCAAAAGAAGTTTTGTTGTTTTATTCTGTCTAATCATTAACTAATAATAAATAAACTTGAAATCCTCAAAAAAAATAATAATCCTTAAAAGAGAAACTACATAGATACTGGCATTAATCTGTTTAAAATATACACGATAAAACTTTATTTGGGGACAGAAACATTATTATCAAGAAACAATTTCCAGATGTGAAAAAGCCATCTTTCATGGATGATATTAATTTCTCAAGCAGTTTCTTCATGTCTGTTTGATTTCTCAACCCATACAAAGGCAGAGATAATTCATGCATATGCCCCACTTGAATTTGAAAAGTACATAGCTGGCCCCTTTGCATTCATTTGCCATCTTATAGAAAGTCTGCATTTTCCCCCTTTCCTTCCAAGAAAATGAATTCAAGATAAATTTAGGGACTTTAGCTCTCCTCACACCATCTTCTATTCTTAGGGTAATTTGGAAAAAAAATATTAAAGATGTCCTGTACACTAAGGTTTCTTGGAAAAATGCAGGAGCCACTATGGTTAGGGTGAGGTATACCTTCGTTGGATACAGAGTGTTTAGATGATGGTGATGGGTTTTGTGAACATCCTTCCCATTCATGGTTCCATCCCTGAAGATCTGCAGAAATTTTCAAGATGTCACTGGTGGTTCTCCCTGAAGCGTCTTTTGTGGGACGGAGATGTAGTGGGTACATGTTTTTACACTATGAGTCCTGCCAAATCCTGAGTCTAAGCTTCACTGAAAGAAATCCTAGGAGACGACTTTTGTAGACAGCACTCTTCTCCTCATCTCCCGCCCCAGTGCTGTCTGTGAAATAAACAACAAAGCAGAGCGACTGAGCCTGCTTGGGTCTGGAAGTCTTGATTATGTGTCACTCTTGACTGATGTCATGACAATATCATAATACCCTTTGGAGAACAGAGAGCAAATCAGGGTTATAGACACTTCAATATTTTCAGAGATTTTATTAGAGATGGGAGAACCACAAATATCAAAGCAAGAAATTATAATACTGGGATTATTCTCTGGAAAGCAAGTAATTATGAATGTCAGGACTTGAATGCTTCTGTGAAGGGGATTTTCATGACACATTTAGGCACACGGCAGATTCGCCACTGTTTATAATTTCTCTTCCTGACATCAAGTAGTGGTGTTCTCACAATCAATGGCATATGCTTCCTTTGTACCAGGGACCAATTATTCTGTCACAACAGAATGGAAGCCTGCAGCAGGTGACATCATGTCCTTGGAGCTTCAGTGGTTCACAATTGCTAGAACCAGCTTGGTGTGAATGACAGCCATGAAGGGAAGGCAGAGCCCTTGCTGGTACACCTGCTGTTTTGTTGAATAATAAGGGAAAACTCAGCTAATGCCCCTTACTCTCTTGTTTTCAGGCAGTAAACAAACCTGAAATTAACACAATGTACTCTGCGAATACTGATATCAACCGTATGGAGTTAGTACCACCCTAGTTCTCAAATCTAAATACCAACACTAGCTTCTGACATTTGCATATACTGTCACATATGTCATTGCAGTTCCTCACCAAAAACCTGCGATGTAATTATGCGATGAGAATGCTTCTCTGTGAATGAAGCTTGCATGGGGAGAAGAAATAAAAACAGGAGGTTAGTGGAAAGATGCGGAGGTGAATCACTGTAGGAAATGATTTTAAAAGCCCACAGAGTGTAAAACAAATGAACTATACTCATTCACAACAAAAAAAATAAATCTGGTAAATTTTTACATTAATTAAATTCCATTTTTTACGTATTTTCAATTTCATTATCTTTCCACTTACTGTGCTTACGTATAGTACTTAAATACTTTCTCACACTTTGGAGGGACTTCTCTGACCCTGGCTTCAAAGAAAAGGAACAGCTTCTACAATGTCTGATTCTTTACTTATGAAAGCAAAAATAGAGGAGAAGAAAGTAAAGTTCACTCACATAGAGTGCAACTTTTAAAGACCATATCCTGATCCCAAAGAAAAGTTGGGGATTTACCTCATATACTTTTTGCTTAATGAAAATTACTTTTAAAGCTTTATATGATACTAGATTTAAATGACACACTCTTATGGATCACATATGCCAGGAAATCTTTTAACTCCTTACCCTGCAATGTGGCTGTAATGATTGATCAAGTGCAACAGGATTGCCATTCACTCTGGACATGACTGAAAAGGCTATTGCTTTATTTGGTGAATCAAACAACCCCTAGGTAAAACCTAGAATCTTGTCACACACACAAGGAAATTGATACCAATAAGTATGTTCCCTTGGAAAACAATGGGATTGGATTTTAATTAAACCAATGATCATGTGACAAGAATCTTGCTAACCTCATACACTGAAATTAAGATCTAACCTTGCCAAGCAATGGCCAAAGCTAATAAATGCCATGTTGGCCTCTTTTCTGAAAAATATTTTATCTTTGCATTCAAAAAAATAAAGGTTTAGTATTTTAGCTTAGGTTTAGTAGAATATTTTTCCCATTTAAAAAACCTACATTCTTCAATGACATCTAATTTATTTTTTAGTAATTATTTCAATCAAAAAGTATGAAATCAACATAGCAATTTGAAAAGTAATTTCAGTATTTTTAAATAATGATACTGCAACTATGGTGCTAAGGAAGAAAAACAAAATATCTGGTATAAAATTGGTTGAATGCTCACTAGATGACAGCTACTTTACATGCATTTTACCACAGTAATTCTAATAAATTCTAATAAAATAGGCTTTATTACCATTTTACAGATGAGTAAACTGTGACTTTGAGTGGTTAGGTCATTTTCCCAATGTGGCAAAATTGAGTTGTTTCTGCTGATCTTGGGGGCTTGTTTTCATCTTTTAAAATATAACTAGAGATTTAAGGGAAAATGTGGTAAGGGTCAAAATGCATCTGTATTTCTACACTGGAAACACTTATCCAATAAAACATTCTATGTCTACCAATCTTTTTTTGGAATATACACATGTGTTTTATTTATTTTTTTAATCATTGAAACAGAAGTAAAGATTAAATGACTATTTAAAGATTATATATGTCTCTCAGAATAATACTGGGCACCTGAAATATTGTTTCTCAACCTTCTAAATACATACTAATGAAGTGAGTTTTTACCTATTTCTATAACAATTGAATTGGAAATGGAAAAACGATAAAACATACTTTGTTATAACATAAACTTTAAGCCAACCACTTGTACAAATATTCTGGGCATTGTGGAAATGTTAGCACATGTGAACATACATATACTAAGATAGAAAGTTTTCACCTATACTTTCCATCTGATACTCAGATGCTCTCCTTAAATGGCATTTGTTAAGAAGTTTCTGGCAATTGATCTCTTAAAAATGTTTGCTGTAGACAATGGCTTTTTATAATTTCACTAGCCTTTGAGTCCAATCGTTCCCCCCACACACACACACATTGAATTAATATAATTTATACATTTATTAACCAACTTCTAGCAAAAGAGTTCTGCCCCATTGTTTCATTATAGTTTCCATGAAGAAGACAGTACATTCCAGTAGTGAAGTGAGTGGACCCTGGAAACAAACTACCTGATTTCAGGTCATGCTTCTGCAACTGCCTCGTTATGTGTCTTCAGAGGAGAGGATGGGTATATTCAACCACAACGAGTAAGATGTGCAATGTTTGGGGGATGGACACGATTGAAGCTCTTACTTGAAGGGGGAGAGGGACATGGGCAATATATATAACCTTAACACTTGTACTCCCACAATACGCTAAAAAAAAAAAACCAGAAATGTAATTTAACTATATTTATGCCTCAGTGTACTCAAACATAAATGATGATGATAATACACATCTAAAGGAGTTGTTTTGAAAGTTAAATAATATCCTGAAATATCTCAGAATAGCACCTGTATCAGTATTAGATACATCTAATGGCATCTAGTACTGACATAAACACTGACAAGTTAGCCATTATTAACCTCTCTAGGGGTCCTAATCAGGTTTTTAGTCTCCTGGTGGGCTACCAAACCGTCATTCTTCAAGTTGCAGTGGGTAAGCTTTTGTTTTTCATCGTTTGTTTGGTTTATTTGGTGGGGAGGAGGGGTCACATTCTCTACTGTAAACTTTTAAACAGCTCTTTATAGTCTTCATAGTTAATTTCAAAAGGGTTAGCTAGCTTAACAAAGCCCTTCAAGATCTGGCCCTCACTTAGCTCTTCAACTTATTTTTCTCAACAAGCACAATGTCCTATCCCCAACACACTGACACACACACACACACACACACACACACACACACACACACGTCCACACACACACTCATAATCTCCCTCCTGTATCCTATAACCAGATTACTTTCATGCAGCTCTCTGATTTATCTTTTTTTCCTTCTATCCTTTTTGAACCTCTCAGCCTTCCTACAAGATATTCCCTCTTCCCATAACTCCCCGTTTTACTTCTCTTGGCTAATTTTACCTTGTCTTCACTTTTCCTGGAAAAAAAAATCCTAAAATAATGCGTTAGGATTTCCTTTTCTGTGTCTATTCATACTATTTGCCATACACAACGTTCTATAATTACCAATTTTCTTGCCTGTCTAATCTAAACTCCAAGATCCTTGTGAGTAGGTATAATTTGCTATTTATATTTCCATTCCTGGAGCCAGCCAGTCGAGTCTTTGTATAATGAATCATTTGGTAACATGGACTCTGCAAGAGATGCAGAAAAGATGTATTCTGAAGAGAGAAAGCCTGGAGCCGCCTCACCTCATGTTCGACGACTAGCCTCCCTGAGAAGGCTTCAAACACAACACAGTTTGATGTTGATTCAGCAACATATGGAACGGGACGAGAAAGAACTCCATACTGTTCCTATCTTCACTAAGAAATTACACTCAAGCTTATCACAGCAAAGAGCCTCTGTATTTTGATGTCTAACTGTAACACATCTATAATAAATCTAATGGCAGATACTGAAAAGTCAGAAAAAAGTGTTCCAGGGATCAAAGAACTGAGAGAGAAGAAAAGATATCCAAGAGGTCACACACTTTGGTAGTGTGACTTTATTTAGGATGCAGCTAAAAGCATCTACCTTAGAAGGTCTCTTAGAGAGTTCAATAAATATAACTACCAGGGTGCCTATGCATCTAATTAAACATGCCAAATCTTGTTCCTTTGTTCAGCCTTAAAGGAAGTAAAATAAAATACTGGGCCATCATCATCCTACATAACCTTGCTATTGTCCGGGGATAAGTGCATTGGCTCTCAGGGCTTGCCTCAGAACTACTTCATCGTAATCAGAAGAAGGAGGTTTCACAGACAGGTAGTGTGGGTGCATGTGCAGTTTTGTTTAGAAAACAAATTAGCGTATCTTTCGTTATTTGAAATAGAGCACTATGTATGGGGGCTATAGTATGTCCTTATATTATAAGGAAGTGATTAATTATAATATGATAATAGTATGCAGACATTAAAATGTGTTTTTAAAGAATTGCTTTTGATATAGGTAATACATCACAATGTTTACTGGGGAAAAAATTCTACAGGAGTTTATATGTCTATATGCATCTTAATCTCCTATACTTTTAGGATTGTGGGTATGTGCAAATAGAACAAAAGTTGGAAGTAAAAGGTTAATAACATCATCTCTGGGTAATAAGATTATAGTTGATTTTTTTTTATTTTTGCATATTCTGAATTTTAGCCATTAGAAAATAGCTATATATTTGAAACCAAAAGGTACTTACAGAAAAGATCTTTTGTGTATGCTAAAGGCTTCACTGGGACAGTATTTCATAACAAACATCTGGAAATAAGACAATTGCCTGCCAATTGGAAACTGATTTATTAAACTGCGATGTATTTATAAAATGGAACTTTATGCACTTGTAATAAATGAACAGGGAGTGATTACATTTGCTGTTATAAAGGGAGAACCAGAATATGTTGTGATGTAAAGAGAGGTAGATGGATAAAACTATAAAAATTGTATGCTACTATTAATTTAAAAAAATAGTTAGTGGGTATGAATAGAAACATGTATTTTCCTAAATTAAAAAAAAATAAGAGTTAAACTGTAATTCAAGATGATAATTTTTGAGTGGAAGGCAGGAACAGGGTTGAAAGGAAAGGGATAAAAATGAGACTGACTTGAACATAGTTTGTTTTCTAAATTTTACTTTGTAATCACGTTAATGTTTTACATAATTATAATAAAATTCAATTAAATAATCAATTTAAATCTATTGGAAGTAAAATAAAATAAATAAACCCAAAAGAGGATAAACTTGGTGGCATAAGCAAGAGAAAAGAATGTACAAAGTGATTTTAACACACAGTAATTCGGCTGTAAATCTCTATTGGCATACACCCTAAACAGGGGAGGGGAAGAATTGCAAAAATATCTCAAACTTTCAGTATCACATTGTTGGTGATAAAACTTTTTTGTTATTTTAAGACTCATTTTACAAATAGATAACTATCTCCTTAAAAACCAACTATTTTGATGTGAAGAAAAAAATCTAGATATGAGATAAATGAAATTAATAAAAACCTATCTATGGTCCTGAATTTGAATTATAGGTATTATGAAACTATGATGTATTTTATCTTAAAAAAAATAAAACTGAACTGTCCACTGAAAATGCCTAGAAACAATTACCACACCAAAAGCTAGGAGCATTCTCAGTCCCCAGATTGTTTTTTAATTACCATTTCTAACTAAAAAGATCCAGGGCTCCTTGAAAAATTAGGTGACTCTAGTACTGAGATATGAGAAGTAAAAAATGAAAATGGAATATGCCGTCCTACCTAAAAGCAAAGAAATTGAGACTACTAGAATTGGATCAAAATGGCTGCTATGGACTGAATTGTGCCCCCCCCCACTCTTATGTTGAAGCTCTAACTCCCAATGTAATGCAATGTAATGGTATCTAGAGATGGGACTTTTTGGGAGGTAAGGTTTAAATGAGGTCATGATGAGGGTGCAATAGTTCAGGATCAGATTAGTGTCCTTATAAGAAGAGACACCACAAAGCTTGCATCACTCTTTTTTTTCTACATGGAGACCCAATGAGAAATCAGCCATCTGCAAACTAGGAGGAAAGCTCCTCACAAGAACCCAATCATGCTGCTACCCTGATCTTGGACTTTTGGCTTCCAAAGTGTTAAAAATAAATTTCCACTGTGTAAGCCACCCAGTCTATAGTGTTTTATTATAACAGCCCAAGCTGACTAAGACAATGACTCAGAAAGCAACTTGAAGAATTTCCCACTGATGTCTTCCATTGGAAACAATTTGAGCACAAACAAAAATATAACTGCAACACATTGAAATACAGTGAATGCCTTTTTTTCTAAGAGTTCATAATGACACTCAAAACAAAATAAAACAAAACATAACCCAAAAAACCTTTCCTGGTCACTTTTACAAAAAGCAATTTATAAGCAAATTATTTTATTTGATTACAAAGGGAAAGAATTAGTAAACATTTATACCATCTTTCATTTATAACATCACAGGTCACTGAATAGTTGAAAAATATTGAAATAGTTGAAAAATGGCAATTTCCCTTTATACAATTATTTCAGCTAATAAATGAGAAAGGAATGGTAGAATGAAAATATCACCATTTTGCCACTCCTGATGGATTAATGGATTTTGACAATGGTCACCAAAGGCTATTGCATCACAGACAATGAGACAACCAGACATTATGTCCCCTCTTAGTGGTACCACCTACGAAGTAATCTTTCTAAACCTCAAAGTTTAATTATTAATTCACAAGAAACAGAGTGTAGAGGAGTACATTAAATGACTATGTACTATGGGATGCTATAGAAAATTCCAGACTGTAGCACACTCTATAGACAAATAACTTGATTACTTATTTTTAAAAATTGCAAGGAAAAAAAAGAAGAGAGATGAAGATATGACCTATTAACAAGATTTAAGACATATGCCATCCAATCACATGTGTAGACATTATTTAGATCCTGAGACAATCAAACTGAAACTTTAAGGGGAAATATGAACATTAAACATTTAATGATATTAATGGATTATTAATTTAAGCAATGATTTTAGCATTGGGGCTATGTTTTTTTAAAGTGTCTGTATGTTTTAGAGATACATGCAGACATATTTATAGATATCATAATTTCAATTTCAATTTATACTTCATTCATAAAATTAACATAAAAAGAGGAAGATTTTAAAAAGCTAGTTTCTGTGTTACTTAGCCTATTAGCCTAAGATATGAAAACAAAACAAAATCTCTGTTACTTCTATAATACTTGCCTTAGCAAACTGCCTCTAAACAAAGAAGTGAAGGCCTAGCTAGAGTTGGAATGAGTCTCTTGAATGTGATTTAGAGCCAATGGTCATGACATCACAAATGCTAGTCCTTAGATGACCACCTAGGCCCCTCTTTAGGGTTTCCTTTTTAAATGAAACCTTATATAACTGACCATTTTACATACATTTTCGCAGAAAATGAGGATTATTTTTTGTAGTTATTTTATGCAAAACCACTTGATTCTGAAAGCCTTGAGCTACCCCAAGCACAGACAGACCAGCTATAGATGAATGGACTAATAGGAATTCAAAGAATCAGGTCCATTCCTGTGATCAATGGAGTTGTTCCATAGTTTTCTACACTAGTGGATATGTTGACATCATTTAATTCCATTACCTTAGACTCCATCCCATCACCTATTTTATAGTTTTATAGTGAACACCATCACATCCTGAGCCAAATACAGCAGTATTTTATAATATTCTTTAATATGGCAATATTAATTATATAAATTTTTCTTGCAAACAAAAAATGTGTAATTATATTCAAAGAGTCAAAAAATGATCAAAAGTAGGCTCTATGAATTATATAAAATTCTCTGTCCTCAATAAATATTAAGAATAGCACAGTCCACATAGAATTTTTCCAAAAATTTTGATACTTTGAAAACAAATGAGAAGACTTGATAGATGGTAACAGTAGATGATTATACTCACTTGTCCTTAACATTTTGGTAGACTTCTCCTTATGCTCATTACAATAGAAAATTTTTTTAATTTAATCCCATATCTTGACTGACTATCCACAAAAATTGGCACATTTGAATGTGTAAGCAAAGAGTGTTGAGGAGAAGTCAAGTTTCCTCCAAAGACTATATTTCTCCATTTACCACCTTCATGGCAATGTCCATTATATCCTGAATATAAAGTTTACATGAAAAAAATCTGGTTTACAGCATTTTCACACAGAAATTGCTTCAGTTTTATTATTCCAATAAAAGCAAGGGGTTGTTGATGCTCTGTTTTCCTTTCTCACCAGGGACTACATTTTGCCAAGGTTGCATTTGCTGTGCATATAGAATTCTGTGCATTTCTCAGAACTTTCTGGACACTTATAAAACTGAAGCCCTGTGGCTATAAATAGAATAGAAGTAGTCTCAAGAAGGAGCATTAATTTCACAGGAATGTAGGTACAGCCACAAACCTGTCCCTTCGGGGAACTCACACAAATTGAAGCACCAGGTGTGAAGATTTCTGTGTAGTGTTTCCCCCTTAGTTGCTAAGACTGAGGTGCACATGGAGTCTGTCAGAGGAATAGTAATTATCAGCAGTATATCCTTTTGACAGAAGTTGGTAGAATCTACAAGTGAACACACTACTAAGCAGAATGGCATCTATGAGGCAGAGTGGCTGATATAACAAAAGATCCCTCCTTCTCAGTCCTTATACAATATGTGACAATGCTCTTTAAAGTAGTTATCAAAATTTCTGTTTACAGATTTAGCATTCCTCATACAAAGGTCTGAAATCCAAAATGCTCCAAAATATGAAATATTTTGTCAAAAAGTTTCAGAAATGCACCCTAAGTAGGAATTCCCATTTTTGATTTCATGTGTTGGGCTGCAATCATAACATAGTCAAAACTTTGTTTCATGCACAAATTTTTTTAAAAAATGTTGTATAAAATTACCTTCAGACTATGTGTATAAGGAATATAAGAAACACTGGGTTCCCATTTTCAAGCTATCTCATTATGTATATGTGAATATTCCAAAATATGAAAAAAATCTGAAATCTAAAAAAACACTTTTGGTCCCAAGCATTTCTGATAAGGGATCCTCAACCTGTAATTAATATCTTCCTTTGAGATGCAGA